TTGCGAGTCATGTTCTCTGCTTGTGCTCCAGTTTTACTCTGAGGATATTCCTGTCAGGGTACAGGCAGCATCAGCGTTGCATGTTAGGTTTAGGTTATTGCAACGCGCTAGGTTGGTTTCCCACCCGGATGCCCCGAGGCTGCCCCGTTTTGGTTTTAGGGATCCTGATTTGGGGGTGTTAGATGCTTTGTCATTACTCCTGCTGCGCCCCCTAATCCTTTCTCTGTGTTTTTTCCTGCACCTCCCTCCCTGTGTCCGGCTCCAAAATGTCTGAGGGTTTCGGTCTCGGCACAGGGTTTAGTTGGTGATGAAATTCGGGCTGCCTTGGGGGCTGCCCCGTCCGGGTCGGGGACGGAGGCATTTGAGCCGGTTCCTCCTGCCGAGGCTTCTGGGTCCCACCAGCACACCCCCTTCTTGTCTGCCTTTCCCTTGGACTCTGCCTTTTCTTCAGGGGTAGAGGGTTTGGAGGATGGCTCTGCCCCGAGTCTCGACGTGGGGGATCCTGGGGCTGGGGAGGAGTCATCCTGGGGGCCTTGGGCCCCCTTTGACCCCGCTTGGTGCTTTTGCCTTCCTTGCGGGGCTTATTGTTGCAGGGAGAGGGTTTTTCTTAACCCCCTTCCCTGTATGAGTATGATTTGGGTTCGGCTCCTCCCCGGGGTTTGGTTCTGGGCGCCTTTGGGTACCTCGGATCCGTCTTTCCACAGGTTTTCTTCTTCCCGTATCTCCGCGACGGTGGCTCGGGAAGCACTTGCTGCATACCTCTTGTAAGACCCGGGTTATGCCTCTGCAATGGATCCGTTCTCGTTTGAGTTCGGTTCTTCTTCCCATTTTTGGGTGCGTTTGGAGGTTCCGGAGTCTTCCTGGCTGGCAGACTGCCCTTTCTTTTCGTTGGGGGCGTGGCATGGGTTCTGTCATACCCGCACGCTTGATTGGCGGAAAACTTCTACTTTTATGCAGGTTTACCTGGGGGGGTGAGTTTGAGCACCTTAATGTGTGCTTGTTTGCTCCCGTGCTTTCTCGGGATGTTGGCCTTTTCCAGCTTCACGTGCAGGTTCCTCAGCTTTCGGCTTCATTGGTTGCGGAGGAGTCGCGCATCCGTGGGCATTTGGCTTCGGTCTTACGTTTCTTTTTCCTTCTCGAGCTGTCTTCTGCTTGGCTTGAGGAGGATCATTTCTGTGGTAATCAGGTGGCTTCGTTGATGGTGTCCCACCTGAGAGCTTCGTCTCGGCGACAGTATGAAGTTTCCTGGCGTTCTTTTCGCCATTTTCTGGCTCTTCGTAGGTTGTCTTTTCTTTCGGATCAGGTTGCCTTGTCCTTTCTTTCTTGGCTTTTTCAGGACCGTCATTTGATGCCTAATACTGTCGCCTCGTATCGTGCGGCGCCGGCAGAGCTGCTCAAGCTAGCTTTTGGGGTGGACGTCACATCCGCCCCGTTTCGTAATCTTTCCCGTGCTATGTTTCACCTCCGGCCTGCCCATGTGCCTCCTGAGCTGTCCTGGTCCTTGGACAGGGTGCTCTCGTTTCATTCTTCTCCTCAGTTTGTTGTGGCCCATTCCATTTCGGATTGTTTGTCCAAGGCACTTTTCCTGTTGGCATTGGCCTCTGGGAGTCAGGTTGGGGAGCTTCATGCTCTCCTCCAGCACAGGGGTTTCTGCTCATGCTCGTTTGCTAATTTTCATTTGGGGAGTTCTGTTCTCTTGTTCGGCTTTCGGTAGCAATAGTTTTACCAGAATAGGGGGTTTGTTTTGGGGTGCCTACCTTTTTGGGTGCCTGTCCAGGTCGATGGCAGATATAGAATGCTCTGCTCGCAACCACAAGGGGATTTCTATAGGCCATTGCTCCTCGTGCCTCTTCTGAGGAGGCCAGGTTCTGGCTCGTGGTCCCGGTAGGCAAGAACTCCAAGCACATTTGACTGAGGCCAGAAAGCAATACATATACATTCAGCCTGAATAGCTTCGGGGAGCCTCCAGGCCTCACCCAGAAAATGGCGTTTCGTTACATTCAATGCTGGTTTTTTCTTTGGGGAAGCCTCTTCAGCTCCCTGAAGCTATCGGACTGATATTTGCCATATTAGTCTAGAGCATCAGTTACTGGAGTCTCTTGCCTACCTTGAACCATGAGCCAGAACCAGGTTCTCTCAGAGAGGAGCAAGGAGCAATGGCTTATGAACACTCCACTATTTGAGAGTATAGTCATGTCTGCCATTGACCAGGAGTATCACCCAGAAAGGTGGGTGAATCACTACATGTCCCAACTGGTAAAACATTGCAACCCAAAATCTCTCCCCAAGAGAAAACAACAAACAAGCAAATGTCACTCAACTAGTGTATCCCACTCGTTAGCGGGCCTCCCCTCTCCTGCCCAGTGGCCGAGTCTCTCTCTGGCCTCTGGTTGATTTGTGGTGTTTTCTGTGGAGAGCCCCTTAGGCTCCCCAGAGCTATACCAGTCTGATGTGTTTGGATTCAGTCTTGTGCATCCTTACCTCTTCTTGAGCTGTCCTCGGACTGACTTGAGGATGATATGGGGGTGGTGGGTGCCTGGCTTTTGTGTACAGCGCTGGCCTCAGCGGTTCTCTGGGGTGGTCGTTCTCGGCCTTCTTGGTAGGGTCATGCCAGGGCTTGGGGTTCTGCAGGTTGGGGGTGGACCATTGATGCCAGTTTCTGAGCCGGCACTTCCTTTGGAGCCAGCATTGTCTGGTCGGCACAATGATCGTTCTGCCCGTTGGCTGGCTTCTCGTAAGGGGCATCTGCCCTTTCGCGAGTTGCCCTGTTGATGGAGGGGGAGGCTCCCTCTGTCTGCTCATGCCTGGTCCCATGATTCGTGTGCTTTTCGGGTCGTATCCTCTGGCCTGTGGTGGCATTAGGCAGCTCCTCTTTCATTGTGGGGGTTCAGGGCTTGTGGGGCAGGCTTCTTCCTCTTCGCTCCATTGAGTCATCTCAACATGGGTGCGCTTGGGTGTGGTCGAAACGACCCCGTCCCTCAGTTGGGTTTTCCGCCATTTTCCGGTGCCAAAATGGGACTGTGCGGATCCAAGGTTCATTGTCCCATCTGAACCCCTGGATTCATTGCCCCTCCTTTTGGATGACCACTCTGTCTCAGGTGGCTCACCTGGCTTCAACAGAAGCCAGGTGCTCAGGTGCTCGAGCAGTTGCACCTGGCAGGACTTATTGAGGTGGGGATGCCTATACCTCTTTACCTCTGTCCAGCTGTTGCTTTGGGTTCTAGCTCAGTTGGAGTTCTACTACAGGAGAGTAGTCCTCATGGCCCCATGGTGGCTAGCTCAGCTGGTCAGGTTTGGTGTCTGAACCTGGGTGTTTCCATGGCTCAGCCACTTCCAGCAGATCAAACCAGTTCGATACACTGCTGGTTCAGTCTTTTCCTCTGCTTTTCACGTCTGATCTTTTTGAGTGAAGTCTCGCTCAAATGATGGTGTCCAACCTTAGAGCTTTTTCACCTCTATCCTGCTCCTGCACCGGCTGAGCCATCCTGGTCCTTGGACAGGGTGCTCTCCTATCTCGATTCTCCTTGGTTTGAGGTGGCCATTCAGTTCAAGATTGTTTTTCCAAGGCTCTCTTTCTGTTGACATTAGCCTCTGGGGGATCATGTTGGTGAGCTTCATTCTCTCCTCAAGCGCAGAAATTTATACTCTTTTGGTCCTGGTAATCGGTTTGTTCAGTTGCAGCTTTCTTCTATTTTGGCAAAGAACGAGACGGCTGCTTTCTGGAGAGGTCCTTGGGTCATCAATGCTTGGTTGGTCAGGCAGGGGGTGCATCATGTGTTGTGTCCGGTTGTGGCTCTTCACCGATACCTTTGCGCCCCGGCTTCTGTGGCTGGGGATGCGCTTCGGGTTGATCCAGTTTCCCTCGTTCTCTGTTGCAGGGCTTTGGTCTCCCAGGCCGTCTACAGGGTTATTAAGTCTAGCCAGCCTGCAGTCTATTCTGGTTCCCCATGACGTTCAGAAGTTTGCTGCTTTGGCTGCCGTCTGATATTCGGGCACAGGGATTTTGGAGGTTGAACAGGGTCCTGGTCGCTTTTTATTTGGTCAACATTCCTGGTCTTGGGCATTTGTGTGTGGCTTTGGGTCGCAGGTTGCAACCAGTTGTCTTGATTTCGAGTTGATTGACGCATGGCGGCCGCCTCCTGGGTAAGTCCCTCTCTTCCTTATCTTTGGTTATGTAGCTCCAGGGAGCCGGAGGAACTCCCCACAGAAAACCAGCATTGAATGTAATGAAACGCCATTTTCTGGGTGAGCCCGGAGGCTCCCTGGCACCCATCCTCCCTCCGGTCGGCAGTTTTCTCATTGTTGTTGATGTTTAACTTCTGAACTGAGGTTGGGTAGCCACCGCAGTGGGTCCGGGGCTCCCCTTCCCTTCCTGGAGAAGGGGGGCAGCTGCATGATGGAAGAGTGGCACCATGGTGTGATGTGATGTTTGCTTGTTTGCATGTTTCCAATATGCATACAATAGAATTCCCTCAATTCCTTGGGTGAATTGAGGGAGTTCTGCCTCTCTGTTCGGTTTTCATTTGCAATTTTCTTATCATGTGTGGTCTATTTTGTTATGCCTACCATTCTGGGTGCCTAACGCCAGTCGATGGCAGATAAGGAAAACCCCCAACCAAAGGGGAGGTTTTTTCCAGGGCCATTGCTCCCTGTGTCTCTCTGAGAGGGCCAGGTTTTGCCTCATGGTCCCCAGTAGGCTGAACTCCTTTGACTAATGCCCTGGTCTAATATATTCCATATTAGCCCAATAGCGCCAGGGAGCCTCCTGGGCTCACCCAGAAAATGGCGTTTCATTACATTGAACGCTGGTTTTCTAATGTATTAATAAAGTATTTATATTTTTGTATAGTAATTCCACTGGCATATAAATTAGTTCATGATCCAACATATTTTACATTTAAAAGAATGTACTGATAAGGTTAAATAAAAAAACATTATTGATGTAATGCATAAATTGATAAATGTTATTCTTGTGTGAAATATAATCAATTTCATTTCAGTATTACAGTTTGTGGGTGAGTCTAATTGGTGGAATTATGTGCTTAGCAGTAATGTTCTTAGTGGATTGGATCACTGCCTTCATCACCTTTCTCTGTATCATCGCACTCTATCTCTTTGTATCGTATAGGAATCCAGGTTAGTGTTTTTAACCTCTTGAGTCAGATTGTAATACCCTACTGTCAGTGCTCAATTTGATATAAAGAAAATGTCTGTACTTAGTTTTCATTAAATGATTATTTAGCACTAATGTATTGCAGTCCCCGTGGCGTAGTGGTAAGACACTTGCCTGGCGTTCTGCGAGCGCTTTGTCCTGGGTTCATATCCTGGCCGGGGAGGATTTACTGGGCACAAATCCTTAACTGTAGCCTCTGTTTAACTCGACAGTAAAAGGGTACTTGGTTGTAAAAACGATTCTTCGCGGGGGGGTCGTGTTCCAGGGACCTGCCTGAAACGCTATGCGTACTAGTGGCTGTACAAGAATGTAAGAACTCTTTATATATATATATATATATATATATATATATATATATATATATATATATATATATATATATATATATATATATATATATATATATATATATATATATATATATATATATATATATATATATATATATATATATATATATATATATATATATATATATATATATATATATATATATATATATATATATATATATATATATATATATATATATATATATATATATATATATATATATATATATATATATATATATATTTTATTAAATATGACCGAAAAAGTAAGATTAATAATTCTAACACGAATTTTCTCAATCTTTCGTACATTATGCTTCACTATTGGAGGTAAATCAAAAATCACTTCTCCAAATTCATTTTTATTTCTAGTCTGACGCGACACGGGCGCGTTTCGTAAAACTTATTACATTTTCAAAGACTTCACAAATACACAACTGATTAGAACTTGCGTTTCCCTGGTTTTATATCTACATTTGAGTGAGGTGGGAAGGGTGATGTGGCATTACATTTGAGTAAGGTGGGAAGGATGATGTGGCATTAGAGGATATTAATAGGGTATTAAAAGTATCAACACAAGACAGAACACGAAACAATGGATATTGAATAGAAGTGTTTGTAGAAAGCCTATTGGTCCATATTTCTTGATGCTTCTATATTGGAGCGGAGTCTTGAGGTGGGTAGAATATAGTTGTGCAATAATTGGCTGTTGATTGCTGGTGTTGACTTCTTGATGTGTAGTGCCTCGCAAACGTCGAGCCGCCTGCTATCGCTGTATCTATCGATGATTTCTGTGTTGTTTACTAGGATTTCTCTGGCGATGGTTTGGTTATGGGAAGAGATTATATGTTCCTTAATGGAGCCCTGTTGTTTATGCATCGTTAAACGCCTAGAAAGAGATGTTGTTGTCTTGCCTATATACTGGGTTTTTTGGAGCTTACAGTCCCCAAGTGGGCATTTGAAGGCATAGACGACGTTAGTCTCTTTTAAAGCGTTCTGTTTCGTGTCTGGAGAGTTTCTCATGAGTAGGCTGGCCGTTTTTCTGGTTTTATAGTAAATCGTCAGTTGTATCCTCTGATTTTTGTCTGTAGGGATAACGTTTCTATTAACAATATCTTTCAGGACCCTTTCCTCTGTTTTATGAGCTGTGGAAAAGAAGTTCCTGTAAAATAGTCTAATAGGGGGTATAGGTGTTGTGTTAGTTGTCTCTTCGGAGGTTGCATGGCTTTTCACTTTCCTTCTTATGATGTCTTCGATGAAACCATTGGAGAAGCCGTTATTGACTAGAACCTGCCTTACCCTACAGAGTTCTTCGTCGACTTGCTTCCATTCTGAGCTGTGGCTGAGAGCACGGTCGACGTATGCATTAACAACACTCCTCTTGTACCTGTCAGGGCAGTCGCTGTTGGCATTTAGGCACATTCCTATGTTTGTTTCCTTTGTGTAGACTGCAGTGTGGAAACCTCCGCCCTTTTCCATGACTGTTACATCTAGAAATGCATACGTCGACCGTGCTCTCAGCCACAGCTCAGAATGGAAGCAAGTCGACGAAGAACTCTGTAGGGTAAGGCAGGTTCTAGTCAATAACGGCTTCTCCAATGGTTTCATCGAAGACATCATAAGAAGGAAAGTGAAAAGCCATGCAACCTCCGAAGAGACAACTAACACAACACCTATACCCCCTATTAGACTATTTTACAGGAACTTCTTTTCCACAGCTCATAAAACAGAGGAAAGGGTCCTGAAAGATATTGTTAATAGAAACGTTATCCCTACAGACAAAAATCAGAGGATACAACTGACGATTTACTATAAAACCAGAAAAACGGCCAGCCTACTCATGAGAAACTCTCCAGACACGAAACAGAACGCTTTAAAAGAGACTAACGTCGTCTATGCCTTCAAATGCCCACTTGGGGACTGTAAGCTCCAAAAAACCCAGTATATAGGCAAGACAACAACATCTCTTTCTAGGCGTTTAACGATGCATAAACAACAGGGCTCCATTAAGGAACATATAATCTCTTCCCATAACCAAACCATCGCCAGAGAAATCCTAGTAAACAACACAGAAATCATCGATAGATACAGCGATAGCAGGCGGCTCGACGTTTGCGAGGCACTACACATCAAGAAGTCAACACCAGCAATCAACAGCCAATTATTGCACAACTATATTCTACCCACCTCAAGACTCCGCTCCAATATAGAAGCATCAAGAAATATGGACCAATAGGCTTTCTACAAACACTTCTATTCAATATCCATTGTTTCGTGTTCTGTCTTGTGTTGATACTTTTAATACCCTATTAATATCCTCTAATGCCACATCATCCTTCCCACCTTACTCAAATGTAATGCCACATCACCCTTCCCACCTCACTCAAATGTAGATATAAAACCAGGGAAACGCAAGTTCTAATCAGTTGTGTATTTGTGAAGTCTTTGAAAATGTAATAAGTTTTACGAAACGCGCCCGTGTCGCGTCAGACTAGAAATAAAAATGAATTTTGGAGAAGTGATTTTTGATTTACCTCCAACAGTGAAGCATAATGTACGAAAGATTGAGAAAATTCGTGTTAGAATTATTAATCTTACTTTTTCGGTCATAGTTAATAAAATATGTCTACAGGAAAGACTGCTACCAAAATATACTAATATATATATATATATATATATATATATATATATATATATATATATATATATATATATATATATATATATATATATATATATATATATATATATATATATATATATATATATATATATATATATATATATATATATATATATATATATATATATATATATATATATATATATATATATATATATATATATATATATATATATATATATATTTTGGTAGCAGTCTTTCCTGTAGACATATATTATTAAATATGACCGAAAAAGTAAGATTAATAATTCTAACACGAATTTTCTCAATCTTTCGTACATTTCTTTTCACTGTTGGAGGTAAATCAAAGATCAATTCTCCAAAATTCATTTTTATTTCTAGTCTGACGCGACACGAGCGCGTTTCGTAAAACTTATTACATTTTCAAAGACTTTAGTTTACAAATACACAACTGAATAGAACTTACGCATCTCCGATTTTATATCTACATTTTAGTGAGGTGGATGGGGTGAGGTGGCATTAATAGGGTATTAATTTCATCAACACAAGACAGAACAAGAGGTGGTATTAATAGGGTATTAATTTCATTAATACCCTATTAATTACTACCCTATTAATACCACCTCTTGTTCTGTCTTGTGTTGATGAAATTAATACCCTATTAATGCCACCTCACCCCATCCACCTCACTAAAATGTAGATATAAAATCGGAGATGCGTAAGTTCTATTCAGTTGTGTATTTGTAAACTAAAGTCTTTGAAAATGTAATAAGTTTTACGAAACGCGCTCATGTTGCGTCAGACTAGAAATAAAAATGAATTTTGGAGAATTGATCTTTGATTTACCTCCAACAGTGAAAAGAAATGTACGAAAGATTGAGAAAATTCGTGTTAGAATTATTAATCTTACTTTTTCGGTCATATTTAATAATATATATATATATATATATATATATATATATATATATATATATATATATATATATATATATATATTCCCAGAAAAATGGTGAAATAATATATATATATATATATATATATATATATATATATATATATATATATATATATATATATATATATATATATATTTAATAAAAAATGTTTAGCTTCACTAAATAATGCCTTTCTTTTCTCAATAGATGTGAACTGGGGATCATCAACTCAAGCTCAGACATATGTTTCTGCTCTGAAAACCACTCTAGATTTGAATACAGTTGAGGAGCACGTCAAAAATTTCCGTCCCCAGTTATTGGTTCTCACTGGTTCACCTGGATCAAGACCGCCCCTCCTGGATTTTGCTCAAAGTATCACCAAGAACATCTCATTACTTGCATGTGGACATGTAATTCAGGTATACTATTACACCCGCTAATATAATTAACAACAAAAAGTTGTTGGTTGATAGCTCAATGTCCAATATGATGCTTTATGATGTATATGTAGATGTAGCTTTAGGAAATACATCCAATATCATGTATTTCCTATGTCTGAAGCACAAAGGTGTTCTCCATTGTCTTCATTGTCATTTTTTAAACATGAAGGTATAAAAGGAGCATACATGTGAGTAGCCATACATAAGAAAATGATCATGATTGAAAGTATACAGGCATAAGACTTTGAGAAATTATGAAAATTTCCTTCAGAACAGAACACTTAGTTACTCTTTAACCACCATGATGTGCCGAGTTTACTGTGATATTCTCCCGGTGCGCATAAAATCAAGTGTTCCCAAATATTTTTTTTTATCTTTGTAAAATAATAAATTCCCTTCCCTGAACACTTTCAAGTAAAATAAAATTAACAAATTCCACTTACTTTGGCTGTGGGAACATGGAGAAGGGGGTGTCACAGGCTGGTTGCCCATGCGTGAAGCTCCCAAAGGCGGTCGCACACGCCATTCAGGCACCGGGAGTTGCCACAAATATATTTTCAATTACACTATCCTCTCAATTTAACGGTCTCTTTTATACCGATCTGCCCATAATAACAACCGGTTTGAGAGACCGGTATATGGACCCTTATATACTGGTCTGACGGTCGATATTACCGAAGGTCGGTATTGAGTTTGTTTTGGCATCGGCGGCCCCTCACATGGTAACAGGCCACCAACCTCCTAGGCCTTGCGGGAGGGATGGGAGGCAGTGATTGATGGAGGGAAGCATTGAGGGGCAGAGGCAGGGAGAGGGGTGGTGTTGAGGGAGGCAGGGAGAGGGGTGGTGTTGAGGGAGGTAGGGAGAGGGGTGGTGTTGAAGGAGGCAGGGAGAGGGGTGGTGTTGAGGGAGGCAGGGAGAGGGGTGGTGTTGAGGGAGGCAGGGAGAGGGGTGGTGTTGAGGGAGGCAGGGAGAGGGGTGGTGTTGACGGAGGCAAGGAGAGGGGTGGTGTTGAGGGAGGCACGGAGAGGGGTGGTGTTGAGGGAGGCAGGGAGAGGGGTGGTGTTGAGGGAGGCACGGAGAGGGGTGGTATTGAGGGAGGCAGGGAGAGGGGTGGTGTTGAGGGAGGCAGGGAGAGGGGTGGTGTTGAGGGAGGAAGGGAGAGTGTGGTGGTAAGGAAGGCGGAGGGCAGAATTGCTGACCAAGGTGATGGTGCCAACTCTCTCGACCATACTGTATTAAATTTTTTAATCTTAGTTGTAAAATATTTATGCCAAAATATGTTAATTTTTGTATATTACTATACATTATTAATCATTAATATGTTTTATAGTCCCCTATTTATTAATTAAACAAATATAGTTTTATTTATGAATTATGCAGAGTTGGCATCTGCGAGCAGGCGCTGACAGATGTCCGGGTAGCCAGGCCTCGACCCCGTTATAATAGCTCCCTCGACCCCATTAGTAGCTCCTTCCTCCATAGCCTGCTGTTCTCATGTTATGAGGAGCACAGTAAGGGAGGAAATATTGCTGAAATAGAGGGAATACAGAGAACATATATGGCACGCATAGATGAGATAAAACACCTAAATTATTGGGATCGTCTCAAAGCTCTCCAAATGTACTCTCTAGAAAGGAGACGAGAGAGATACCAAATAATATACACATGGAAAATACTGGAGGGCCAGGTCCCTAATCTACACAGTAAAATAACAACGTACTGGAGTGAACGATATGGAAGAAAATGCAAGATTGAACCAGTAATGAGCAGAGGTGCCATAGGCACAATCAGAGAGCACTGTATAAACATCAGAGGTCCGCGGTTTTCAACGTCCTCCCAGCGACTGTAAGAAATATTGCCGGAACAACCATGGACATCTTCAAGAGAAAACTGGACGGTTTTCTAAGAGAAGTTCCGGATCAGCCGGGCTGTGGTGGGTATGTGGCCCTGTGGGCCATTCCAAGCAACAGCCTGGTGGACCAAACTCTCACAAGTCGAGCCTGGCCTCGGGCCGGGCTTGGGGAGTAGAAGAACTCCCAGAACCCCATCAAGCAGGTCATCAAGCAGGTCAAGCAGGAGGGATGGAAGACATTGAGGGAGAGATGGAAGACATTGAGGGAGGGGATGGAAGACATTGAGGGAGGGGGATGAAAAATATTGAGGGAGGGGATGGAAGACATCGAGGGAGGGGATGGAAGACATCGAGGGAGGGGATGGAAAACATCGAGGGAGGGGATGGAAGACATCGAGGGAGGGGATGGAAGACATTGAGGGGGAGGGGATGGAAGACATCGAGGGAGGGGATGGAAGACATCGAGGGAGGGGATGGAAGACATCGAGGGAGGGGATGGAAGACATTGAGGGGGAGGGGATGGAAGACATTGAGGGGGAGGGGATGGAAGACATTGAGGGGGAGGGGATGGAAGACATTTGGAGGGAGGGAGGTGTTTGGTTAATATGGTTCACTTGTTGTGTGGTTCCACTTGTCCACTTGTGTGATCCAACTTGTCATGTGAAGGAATTATTAATTGTAACCTGTAATAGAATGGGCACTAACACAGGAACTAACTTGGAATGCAATTACACAATGAACTTTATATAATTTTAGTTATACAGTATAAAGTATATCCTACCTGAATGTTACTTTATAACACCACTAAATTGTAACCCCCTATAATGTATACTAAACTAATAATGTAACTCTACTACTTATCCTAAGTAACATTTCCTATCGGTTGCACTTGGTAACACTGTTATTGAACACTGTAATATAAGCTGACATATGATGGTTACACCGGAACCAAAAGGTACACTGCCAACAAGGAAATGCTACCCAGGACTAAATAACGCTGCCACCATCTGCCTTCACCATTGAGACTATATCAAGCAACGAGGCAAGAAACATTGCTTGACTTGGAGAGTACTTTCTATGACTGTCATTAATTATGGGACGGTTGTCAGCCACTATATCCAAAAGGCTAAGAGGATTCAACAATTGGCATAGACAGGAAATTTAACATGAGTTTATTGAGGCCAAAATTATGCTAATCACCACTTATAAATCTTACTCTAACACTGGCCAAAAGTTAAGAAATTTGGACATGGAACAAAACCTCAGAGATCACACACATTACCTTAAGACTTGTCTCTCCATCCGGTGGATTCACGCTGTCACTCCCTCTGTGAGATGTTCTTCACAGACCCTCTCTCGACCCCGGTGTCCCACACTTTGTCCCTAAGTTTCTACAGGACCAAATATATACCCTCGAAAAATGGGGAGGGGAAGATTTACTGTTGCTACATAGATAAAAATGCCAGGGGGGTCGGGCCACATGTGCACAAACACTTAAAAAATATTTCAATTAAGCTTGTTTGACATTCACCATACACTCTTCAAGAGAGGAGTTACTAATTACGTGTGTGACTGACCTTTGACCTGGCTAAAAGGGGGAGATCCATGGATGTTTACACCTAAGAGTTTGGGGTCTAATTCCATTGCAATGTTTGAAAAGAGTATCATAAAATATTACATACTTGAAACTAGCTGACTAAGACTAACCCAGGAATTTTTTTAATCAACATACAAGATAATCCGGAGGTCATCTGGGCTGACCTTTTGGAGAAGGCTTTCCTGGGTGTGAACTCTAAGGGGGAGGGGTCATGCATGTTACAACTTGAAAAATTACTGACATCTTAACTTCGGAAGTACCGGAGCTCCGGAAATAACGACCATGGTACAGCTCCATATAGGGCGTTAAATTGAGTGGATACTGTACTTTTTCTATGTATTTCCAATGAGGTTTTATTTTTTTCTGGGGGGAGCCCCTATGGCTCCCCGGAGCTATCCATGGCTGATATGGATACCCTAACTATTTTGCATCAGTCGATGTGGGTGGAGTTCTAGGCCTACCGGGGACCACGAGCCAGAACCTGGCCCCCTCTTAGAGGCACGGGGAGCAATGGCCCAAAGAATTGCACATGTGATTTGGAGCATTCTATATCTGCCATCGACCGGGACAGGCACCCAGAAAGGTAAACGCCACAAAACAAACCCCTATTCTGGTTAACAACAAAAATCGACAAACGAGTGGACAGAACTCCCCCAGGAAAACGAACTAACAAGCATGTCTGCGCAGCTCCTCCCCCTCCCCAGGAGGGGGAAGGGGGAGCCCTAGACCCCCTCGCCGGCGATCCCCGCCCCAGTTCCTCGGCTGATGGGATAGTGCATGGTCGTGTGGCTCCAGCTCCGGTCTTGTCTCAGTGCTGTGACTTGTTTGCGGTGCTGCTCTTATGGTGGTCATGTGAGCTGGGAGTAGTATTCTCAGGTACTCGGGCTGCATGTGCTTAGGGTCACCTTCCCTGAGTGCCCTGTAAGTACTGCCCTTGGCCGCCCCGAGTGTTTGGGGGTTTTCCTCCCTTGTTTGCCTTGGGGTAAGGGGTAGTTATCGCACTGGTGGGGTGCAGGGTACTGCATAGCTACTTTTCACCTATGACAGCGGCCGGCTCTGTTCCCTCTGGGTACGTTGTCTACTTGTGTGGTTTTTCTTTTATATTTGTTTTTGCCTGGTAGGGGGGTCTGCCTTGTGTTCCCCCCCCCCTTATATTAGGGTCGTTTGTATGGTGGCACCCCCTGCTTCGCCTTCACGGGTGGACACGTCCCGTGGGTTCAGCTTTAGCAGTTTGCTTGGTAGTTTGGGGCGCCGGTTAGCAGTGCCCTGCCTGGGATAACCCTTAGCAGACCCAGTCTAGGGGCCCTGGGAAACCCCCCGGGGGCTCTCGGGTCCGATAGTGGAGACCCTTGCATCCCCTCTCGCTTTCTGCGAGTTGAGGGCTGCTCTGTCCCTTTGCCTCAGGGTGACTCTCCTTGTTTTTGCCTCCGTCATGCTGCCTGTTGGGTCGGTGACACATTCGACCCTGAGTCCTACGAGCTTTGTTGCTTGTTCGTGACTCCATTCACCCAGTCTGCTGATGAATTCCC